AAGCAGTGCTTTATACACCTTCCCGTGGAGCTTGGGTCTGGCTGAGCCATCCTCGGTTTTCTCAGAACTGAGCACAGGCCCAGTTTAATTCCAGTCTTCTGTGTTGCAGGGCTCGGCTCTGGGCTGAAGGCTTGCCTTTTAGAATGGGTGTGGGAGTACATGTGGGATACGGAAGGTCCTTTGAGAAAATGTCAGGAAGACAAGGATGGGTGTGCGTGGGAGACCAGCAACAGGGTGGCTCAGAGACTCGCTAGAGAGCACAAGACTCTCATCCGTAGCCATAACGTAACAGGGATTTCGGAAGGACATGTTTAGTGGATGATAATTTGAACATCATCTCATTCTTCTCAGAGCATATGGGAGCATTTGTACGTTCACACATGCAAACGTGCACACACCTTTAAGTAGTCTCGTTGCAAACCTGTGTACTTAGGAAAACGGTGGTTACACCCATTCTAAAAGTCACATATTCTGCAAAATACGTCAGAAGGAAGAAGGAAACTATCAGATGGTCTCACTCATGAGTGGATGTAGGGAAACCAGACAGAGGGTCAGAAAGAAGGCACAACTCACAGGCTGACCATTGATCTGAGGCACCAGCAGGGGACAGGGAGGAAGAAGGGTCCAAACAGGGGAGGGAGGACCACAAGGGACAGTGGTGATGGTGCACAGGGGAGCTGTGGTGGTGGAGAATGATGGGCTGACACTGAGAGAAGAAAGCAAATACTGCCCCAAAATAAACAATGATCCAAAAAAAAATTTTTTTTAAGATTTATTTTTATTTTGTGCATACAGAACTGGGGTACAGGCCAGAGGCTCAGGGGCAGCGAGAAGCTTCACCAGAGACAGAGTGGGGAGCAGAACAGGCAGATCGACGAAGTACACTGCTGAGGGGAGCAGCGGGCGGGTCAGGAGAGGTCTGCCGCGCCATGTGGTCACCTCCGGGGCAGGCGGCGATCGAACTCATGCGGAAGTGGCTTAAGCTTCTTAGTGTTGTGCTTTAACCTGCTGCACCACCAGGGAGGGCCCCAAAAAAATTTTTAATAGGCTTATCTTAAATTTTTTAAAAAAGAAAATTTTAAAATTGCATGACAATCAGTAGCATAAGCCAAACCAAAGGAAATGAACAAGGGCCCATCTCCTTCATGTTTAGCAAGTGTCCACGCTTTGGAAAGAGTCTACCACCCGCAAGAAAAATGGGCAAAGGTTATGAAACAGAGGAACCATAGCACTGGTCCTTCGGTGTCTGAAAAGATGTGTTTTTTCACTTGTGCAAAAATAAATGCAAGTTAAAACTACACTAAAATATCATTTCTCGCCTTCCAGAGCAGACTAAATCCTAAGGTTTGGTCTCTTACATCACTAGTGAATCGCTAGGAAAACAGCTTGCCAGTGGGAGTACAGAATACTGCTGCGGATATGGAGAGGATTTAACAACAGGTCGTCAGTTTACAGCTGCGTGTGTCCCTTCACCTAGTACAAGCACATCTGTTCTCCAGTCATCAGTCTAAGCATAAAATGCCACGCATGGAAAGCAAAATTGAAAGGCAAAATAAAGAAATCACAGAAATGCCCAGCAGGGGATTGATTCATCTGTGGCAGGCCTCCCCAGTAAAGTACTATGCAGCTGTACAAAAGGAAGTCAGGTCTCTGTGTATAAATATGGCTGAATGCCCAGATAATCCTAGCAGAGTGGAGGAGGAGGCACAGGACTGGGGGAAATAAAAAAGTAACTTGTTCTTCTTCTGGCATGGCACCCCCATGCATACAGAGGGATGACTGAAAGTCTACACTGTATCTTCCTTTGTGTTCAAACAGTGGATCCCTGGAAGGATAAGCAAGTATCTAATAAAAATCATTTCTTCTAGGAAGAGGGAGTGAATGCCAATGCCGCAGAAAGGGCAGAATTGGGCATGATATTCCTCTGTGTTTATTTATCCTTTTATGGCAGGGCTTGGCAAACTATCGCCTAAGGACCAAATGTTTTCTACCTGTTTTTTTTTATAAAAAAAATTACATATTCGGGCCCTCCCTGGTGGCGCAGCGGGTTAAAGCACAGCACTGAGAATCTAAAGCCGCTTCCGCATGAGTTCGATTCCCGCCTGCCCCGGAGGTGACCACATGGCGCGGCAGACCTCTCCTGACCCGCCCACTGCTCCCCTCAGCAGTGTACTTCGTCAATCTGCCTGTTCTGTTCCCCACTCTGTCTCTGGTGAAGCCTCTTGCCACCCCTGAGCCTCTGGCCTGTACCCCAGTTCTGTATGCACAAATAAATAAATCTTTAAAAAAAAAAAATTACTTATTCTGGCCCCTCCCTGGTGGCGCAGCAGGTTAAAGCACAGCACTGCAAGTTAGCAGCAGCTGCTTCAGTGCTGGTTTGATCCCCAGCCATGGAGATGACCCACATGGCGAGGCAGGCCTCTCCTGATGCCCGCTGCTCCCCTCAGCAGTGTACTTTGTTGATCTGCCTGTTCTGCTCCCCACACTCACCCTCTGCACCTCTAGCCTATACCCCAGTTCTGTATGTATAAATAAATCTTTAAAAATATATATTACCTATTCTGCCAATATGTTTGGAATATCCCATAAGGACAGGCTCCATGTAGATAGCAAAAGTCAAAAATCAACAAATCAGGTTATATCAATCCATTTTTTTAAACTTGACACCACAGGAACTTTACGCACACACAGTATGAGTTTTTACATTATATATACAAGCTGACTTTTTCATGTAATGGATTTTGGATTTTTACATTGTGGGCACACACAGAATCATTTCATTTGCTCTTTTTGCTTAGTTGAATAGTGCTCCATCATGCAAAGCAGTCACATTTTACTTATTCACTCCCTTTTTTTTTTTTTAAAGATTTATTTATATATGCATACAGAACTGGGGTACAGGCCAGAGGTGCAGGGGCAGTGAGAGGATTCACCAGAGACAGTGGGGAGCAGAACAGGCAGATGGACAAAGTACACTGCTGAGGGGAGCAGCAGGGGTCAGGAGGTCTGCCACGCCATGTAGGTCACCTCCAGGGCCAGGAATTGAACTTGCTGCAGCTCGCTTGCTGTGCTGTGCTTTAATCCCTTGTGCCACCAAGGAGGGCTGTATTCACTCCCATTCTAATGGGCATTTAACTTGGCTCTGATCACAATATTGTAGGTGGTGCTCATGAACATTCTACCATGGTCCCTTGGGTGAGTGTCCAAAGCAGATGCCTCACCATGGTCAGGGTGTGGGCACGTCCCTTTTACAGGCATTGGGGGCGGAGGGGTGAGGGTCGGGGTGGGGGTGGCTTCCGAATGGCTATAGGTGCTTAATCCAGCTATATTTGATGTCATCAAGAGTTTTGGTTTTTTGCCAGCCTAATGGTTGAATGTGTTGGCCTCTTTAGTGTTGACACATTTTTTAAATATTTATTTTGTAGAAGACCTAGGGTATAGGCCACCAGGACAAGCAGTTCTGAAATCACTGCTGAGGGGAACAGCAAGCAGGACAGGAGAGGTCTGCCGGGCCATAGGTGGGCCAGCTCCCTGGCTGGGGATCGAACTCAGGCCCGGCCATAGTGGTAATAGCGCTGAAACTTAACTCCTAGGCCACTAGGGCAGCCTTTGTCTTTACACATTTTAAAGAGTCTCATTCTGCAACCAGGATATGTCACAGTGTGATGTGAAACTGCTCAGCTCCTGTTCAACCTCACATGAAAGAATATACAAAACCATATCTATTTCCAGATAGGAAAGAAATTGCTATTAAGAACAGAAAGGTTAAATGGTTCATTCTCTAATATTATTGAGCATTTTGTGCTAAGCACTAGGATTACAAAAGATAGAAACAAAGATAAACAGATTATAGTCTCTGACATCAATGGGGGGGGGGGTCTCATGCCAGAAGAACAAGTTACTTAAACCAGTAATTCCTGCAAGCGCTGTAATTAGTGAATGTTCCAGGGACTGTTAGAGAGAGCAAAGAAGAAGAAAAACATAATGTTGATTTTCTTAATGTTGGGAGTGAATGCTACAAAGTCAACAATTTCAAAGAGTAGTAAATGTCACACCCAGGAGTGTTTCCAAAGATACCCCCTTACTTAATCCTGACATTGCCCTATTTTAGGACAGAATGCCCCCAAGAGCTGCAATAAGCCGCAGACACTTGGGAAACCCCTTAGGAAATAGTGAGGGGTGCCCATGCATCAGCAGGCCCCACGCTCAGCCCTTCAGCTCAGCCAGCCACCGAGTTCACTTGGCAGGACTAAGAGCATGGTGTGTAGACAGGCGTGCCTTCACCGAGATGTGTTCAGTGTGGTTTCCGTTCATCAGAACCCAGAGAGGGAGCTTAGATGATTCATATTTAATAACAGTGTAATGCTAAGTTAGAGACCCATTTGAGTAGGGCCCACTGACAATAGAAAGAAAGCTTTTAATGCCTGGAGAATTGCCTTACAAGAAACAATGAGTAAAGTCATGACTTGATCCTGGGCCACAGTTTAGAAGAATAAACAGAACTTCATACATTTGCTCAGTGAAGCCACCGATGGGTGGAACATAGAGCAACTAAGCCAACCCTTAAAACTGATCACAGATCTGTGACTTTTGGAGGAGGAAGAGGAAGGATGAGAATGGGAAGGGGACGTGGATTATGGTGGAAAACTGTGGGTGCTTTTGTGGTGGGAGAGCAGAGGGGGGGAATTTTATATTGTCAAAATGCTAGCCAGGATATAAAACAGTGATACTTCAATAACAATTTTTTAAAAATCAAGAATGAATGAATTAATGACCAAGGGAGGAAAAAATAAATAGAATTCCGTCTATTTTAACACACACACACACACAAACAAAACACATGTATCAGCCTCTCAACACCTAGATCCCTGTATAGAGTAGGTAATGATACAATTTTGGATTGAAAGGATGTTGTTCATGTGTTCAGGGGCTTTGTATTTCAGTCAGATATGTCAGAGAAAAATCATTATTCTCTTTAATCTTTCAAAAATTATTTTTAGGTCAAGAAGTGGTTTTCAAGTGCCTTGGAGAAGGAATTCTTGAGAAAGCCTTTCAGGGGTACAATGCTTGTATTTTTGCTTACGGACAGACAGGTAAGTAATTTCTATTTACATTCAGTGATATTAAAGATGCATTTCTGACAGCATTCTGGAAGCGTCAGAAAAATGCTTCAGACTGAGTTTCACTGAATGAGTGTCAAAAGAAACCATCACTTTAAAGGCTGAGTATTTTGGTAATGGAGTCATTTCAATGTTAATGAGCAAAGCTAGTTTCAAACTATTAAGTGTTATTTTCCTAAATTATAGTTTTAGCTTACATTTGAACCTGAGATAATTACCAGCTTCCAGTATAAAAGTGATAGTAAAAATAAACATAGAAAAACGTAGTGTCATCTCCTAGAGAGGGTTTTCTCTAGGATAGAGAGAAATGATACATGATGAGTTGAAGGCTTGAGTTACGCACAAGCAGAACAGAAACATCAGCTTTCATCTCTGCGCACCAATTTTTATAAATCAATACTTGTAATAATACTGCCTGTCATCACATCACAGGACAATTGGGAGACTCAGACCAGAGACTATGTATCAGAGCATTTTCACAAATATAAAATATTTGGGGGGGGGGGAGAGGGTCATGTTATTTACAAAAGGAAAGACATGGAATCACCCAAATGCCCAAAAGTAGATGACTGGATTAAAAAGATGTGGCACATACACACAATGGAATATCACTCAGCAATCAAAAAGATAAATGCATGCCTTTTGTAGAAACATAGATGGAGCTGGAAGGGATTGTGCTTAGTGAAATAAGCCAGAAAGAAAAAGAAAAAGAAAAATACCAGATGATTTCACTCATAGCAGTACCACAAAGGACCGGGGGTTGAGGGGATAATAATAGTGAGTAACTATATACCAGAGACATTTTATGGGGGTGGAGTGGGGAATGGGATCAAAAATGGGGGGGGGGTGTATGGGACTATGGTGATGGCACATGGGTGATTTGGTGATGGGAAGCCCACGGGGATTACAACTGAGATGGAAAAAGGCACAAAATGATGTAAAAATAAACTACCGTAATGAAAAAAAAATACTTTTATCCTCTATAGTCGGTATTTACTATAAAGACTGTATTTTAGTGGTATACTTGTGCCCATTCATCTTACAGAGGCCAGGATCCAATAGGCTGAGGGGGGTAATCCAGACCTGTATTTTTAAAACATGAGGTGCTAAAAATCAGATGAACTTCATTCACTAGAGGAAGGAGAGGTCCTTTTACTTTTTTTAATAGTTTTTTTTTTAACTGAATAAATTTGTATTTATAAAAATACAAATGTGAAAGTACTCTCCATCTCTCACTGGCAGTCAGTCAGGAGCTTTGAATATGATAGAAAGAGTTGCCTGAGTTTAAGGATCAAGTTGGGCACTTTTCTGAAGTGTGACCTTGGCTGATAATAAAGAAGCAACTTGTGCAATTAAGGCTTATTTTTTGCTTTCTCTTCTGTCCTTTGTTTCTGCTGGTTCTTCTCCAGGCTCAGGAAAATCCTTCTCCATGATGGGCAATGCTGAGCAGCTGGGCCTTATCCCAAGGCTCTGCTGTGCTTTATTTAAAAGGATCTCTTTGGAGCAAAATGAGTCACAGACGTTTAAAGTCGAAGTATCCTACATGGAAATTTATAATGAGAAAGTTCGGGATCTTTTAGACCCCAAAGGGTAAGTGAGTGATTGAAATTAAGCTTGTAATAAGGGGTAATAACTTTAAGTGATCTTAAAGTGAAAATTGCAAGGGAACATATTTATTGGTGCCCAGTCACTGCTCTGGCTTCCGTTCCTTACGACACATTATGGGCTGCTCAGAGCCTGTTGATAGACTGGTTTACATAGTTTATCCTATCGTCATTATTCACTTTCTAACACTTGCCAATTAAAAGGTGTTTTTACTATTGGTATTTTTAAGATTTATTTATGCATACAAGAGCTGGGGTACAGGCCAGAGGTGCAAGGGGTGAGAGGATTCCCCAGAGACAGTGGGGAGCAGAACAGGCCGATTGACTGAAGTACATTGCTGAGGGGAGCAGCAGGCAAGACAGGCGAGGTCTGCTGCACCTTGTGGATCACCTCCGGGGCTGGGGTCGAATTCACTGCTGCAGTGGCTGTGGATAGCTTCACAGTGCTGAGACCTAATTCCTTGTGCTACCAGGGAGGCCCCCATTTAGAATATTTTTTGACCATTAAAAAAAAATTTCTTTGAACTCTCCTGCATTGCTGGTAGGAATGCAAACTAGTACAAACACTATGGAAAACTGTTTGGAGGTTCCTCAAACTGCTAAACATGGAGCTTCCCTATCACCCAGCAATCCCACTCCTACGTATCTACCCAAAAGACAGAAAAACAATGATTGGAATAGACACCTGCACCCCCATGTTTATTGATGCTTTATTTACAATTGGAAAGACGTGGAAACAACCCAAATGCCCAAAAGTAGATGACTAGGTTAAAAAGATGTGGCACATATACACAATGAAATATTACTCGGCAACCAAAAAAGATAAACACATGCCTTTTGCAGCAACATGGATGGAACTGGAAGGGATCATGCTTAGTGAAATAAGCCAGAAAGAAAAATACTGGATGGCTTCACTCATAGCAGGAGAATAAAGAATAGCATAAAGAATCGGGAGAAAATAATAATAATGAATAACTATATACCAGAGACATTTTAAAGGGGTGGAGTGAGGATGGGATCAAAATGGGCGGGGGAGGGGTGGTAGTGATGATGTGTATTAAGGGGGGGGAATATGGTGATGGCACACAGGTGAATTGGCGATGGGAAGCCCATGAGGATTACAACTGAGATGGAAAAAGGCACAAAGTGATGTAAAAATAAACTAATATAAAAATAAAAATTCCTTTGAAACCGCCATCTTAAGTTTCCAAGTACTTAAAAGTTTAAAAAAAGTCCCAAAGTTTGATCTGACTCACTCACTCCCTTCTCTTTCCTCCTGAAGGAGCAGGCAGTCTCTTAAAGTTCGTGAGCATAAAGTGTTGGGGCCATATGTAGATGGTCTTTCGCAACTGGCAGTCACTAGTTTTGAGGTAAGTGTCATTTCTTTAAATGGACGGAAAATGGCAGTGAGAAATATAGTGTGTAAGTGGTGTTGCATATATTTTTGTGGATGCTTTATAGTTTACTGATACCATCACAGCTTCCGAAGCCCAGAGTCAACTCAGCCCACAGATTCAAAAAAGGGTCTTGATCACGCAATCACCCTGTTTTGCTGGGAAGTATGTCTGAGAGAGCCAACATTTCAGGGTGTTAAACACGCTTGAGTGTGTTCACTAACCCCACTCCCTTGACGCTGTTCTCCCTGAGGTTGCCATTGATGTCCCTTGAAACAAAACTGGCCAAATTAGTTATTATTTTTACATTTATTTATTTCTATTTTATATCATTGTTCCTTTTTGCACCATGTTTGCTTTCTCCTCTCAGGTGTAGTCCCCACAGAAATTCTACCACCAAGTCACCCATGCACCATCACCTTAGCCCCCTGTGCTCTTCCCTCCCCTGCAAAATGTGTCTGATTTATAGTTGTCTGAAAGTGGCCAAATTTAAAACATGGTCGGTAGTTAATTCAGACCCTTCTCTTCGAGGTTTCCTTCATTAGTCTTCATTGCTTTTCATTCCTCTTCTTTTTTGAATTGTTTCTCTTTCCATTTGCTTTTCCACCCCCTTGATTTTTATGCCCTCCCTATCCTGACTCCACGTTTTACCCTTATTTTGATGACTATTGCTATGGAGTCTGCAGAATACGCTGCCACCCACTGGAGATGGGGAGCGAGCGACTCCATCCCTGTGCTCAGTTGTGCTCAGTTGTGCTGTCGATGTGCTGGGTTTGCCTCGTTATCATCTCAGCCTAAGTGTGACCAAAATTCACCTGGAAGGACCTCTCTCCAGCCATTTGAATGCAGACATTTTTAATATTGCTTAAATGAGAAAGAGTGTAAGTGTCTCTTAAAAAGAACTTGATTCTGAAATATATGGAAACCTCTCTAGTTTGAAGCTGCTAGGTCAGCCCCCCAGGTGAGGTAGCTGGTTTTCCCTTCAGTGTGTGTGTGTGGGGGGGGTCATTGTCCACCTCACCCTGTCCCCTTCTTAGTAAGAGCCAGGAAGCTTGTGATTTGCATCCTGGCTCTGCCAGGATGTGCAGAAGTAATTTGACCTCCGTGAACTGCAGTGTCATTGTGTGTAAAATCATGAAATGCTTCTCATGTACAGCTCATTTATCCAACTGTGTCTAAAAGCCCACAAGTTGCACCTGTTCTAAAGCAGGTATACATGATGAGTAAGGAATCCTCCCTGTTCTTGCAGAACCACAGGGCTGTAGGAGGGAAGCGAATAAGCTATGAAGAGTTGGTCTGCATGGGAAATTTGAATTCAATACAGTAACCATTGCTGTTTACTAAATTCTAGGCAGGCTGAATAAAGTTTACTTCTTTCCCCCCCTGGGAACTTGCAAAGGAGAAAATAGGTACCTAACAGAGAAAGCAGATTGTGGTGGGAGGGAAAGAAAAATGTGGGTGTCAAAGAGGAATAGGGGTGGGGTGAGAGAAGCACATTTCTTACTCTAGAAAGCTCGGAGGGAGGTGGAAACATTGGGAGAGGCAGCAGGGTTTAATGGCAAGGTGGTGGCGAAGGCATCAGAGGGATCATAATTAATACATAAACCTTGGGCAGGACTGTGCACTTCTTGTGTTTCGCTTATAATGCTTTCCTTTTTGCTTTGCCTCTAGGATATTGAGTCTTTGATGTCTGAGGGGAATAAGTCTCGGACAGTAGCTGCAACCAACATGAATGAAGAAAGCAGCCGCTCCCACGCCGTGTTCAACATCATAATCACGCAGACGCTTTACGACCTGCAGTCTGGGGTGAGAGTTACGCAGCACCTTGGTGGCAGTAAAACAGCTCATCGTGTCTGCATGGGCGACGTCTCCTGGCTGGATTTAGTTCCTGCTGGCTCTTCTGCTCACTGGATGAGCTACTTTGCTGACATCATTAAATTCACTAAGTTTTTTTTTATTTTTAATTGAAATTTAACATTTTTATTGATTTTTTTATACCAAAAATACATTTAATACTTTCATTATTAGGTTAGCAACTTCATTATCACTTCTAAAAATCATAACTTTCAGTTAGATTTTATTGTTTTGTTTTTTTCTTTTTCTTTTTTAAATTTATCTTGACATCCTTCTTCATTTTGTGCTCCCCCCCCATAGACTTCCCACCACCAGTGTTACTGAATTTTTTTTAACAGAATTTCTCGTTTTAACTCTTAGTAGTGTATGATGTCGCCATTATACCTTACTATGGATTGTTACTTACTGAAATATCATTGAAAGCATCTGGATCCAGATCATTGTCAGTAAGGGAAAAGAAAGAAAACTTTAACATGAAGCCAGAAAAATATAATTTTTCAAAGGCAGAGGGATTTGACCACAATGTGTGGATAGCCTCACATCTGAGTGTCTCCTCAGGAGCACATAAAATCTCCAGCTTTCCGAGTCTGTGCTGGAAAGCCAAGAGTGCTCCCTACCCACCAGCGAAGCGAAATGCTACTTTAACCTTCTACTGGGAACTTGCCCACGTAATGCTCCCGACCATTAAGAGTCTTCTTGAGACCTTACACAAGCCTGTAGGCAGGTTCACTGCCGATTCAGGCAGATGGATAAAGGAGCACACTGGAGCCCTCAGAGGGTGTTGTGCAGGGAAAAGGGTGCCCAGGAACCGGCAGGTTGGCAAGTCCCCTAACCCCAGAGTCTTTTCTTTGGGCTCTCGCTGACATTTTGTCATGGACTCCCTTCTGTAATCACTTGCCTTGCGGTGTGAGTGACACCGCCCTTATGTCCCCGCCTCTAGGCTCAGGCATGCACACTGACACATTCCTACACATGCTCCAGGTGAGCACACTCTGGCACATGGCACCTACCCTCTCAGGTACCCTCCGCATCAACATGACGAAGGCCACAGATGATAGCCAGAGAGGCCAGTGGTACAAAAGCCTGACCAGTTCACTTCCTCTACAGACCTTTGCCTGGCTCTAGGGGAGACTGCTGTGAAGAGTGCCCCTAGTTTTGGTGTGGGCATCCCTGGAGGTGTCTGCACGGCTCTTAAATTCACTCGTGTGGTGTTTCTTGTTTCCTATGACTAGAACTCAGGAGAAAAAGTCAGCAAGGTCAGCTTGGTGGACCTGGCGGGCAGCGAACGAGTTTCTAAAACAGGTGCCGCAGGAGAGCGACTGAAGGAAGGCAGCAACATCAACAAGTAAGCCATGGTTCTTACACTACCCAGGGGACTTTGGTGTCCCCCCGGGTTGGGGGCACCTCTTGTGTGGTAGGGAGCAGAACCTTCCTGTTGCAGGTATTCTGCGTCTGTGTAGCTTCCATGCCCGGGGGTGTTGCAAAGCAAGAGCCTGCTTCTGCTAAGAGATCATTTATGGAGAACAGTGTGTCCGGCCCTGCTCAAATGTGCACTCAGAAGACCACTGCTGTAATGTCTTCTGTAAATGCAAACCACAATTTGGTGAATCATTTATCAGAGGAATTTAGGAAGCTTATCCCGGAAAAAAAAAGTGCTTTGAGTCCCTTTGTAAGACTAGTACCGCTTAAATATCAATATGGCGTGAGTGTAACACCTGGAATAACGCCAGACTGAAATCTCACTGTGAAGTCTTGAGTGCCAGCAATGCACTCAACAAAGCAATGTTGAAGAAGCAATGCAGGGCTCTGGGGGTAGCAGGTAGATAGCAGACAGGCCTTCCTCGTGGAGGGGATGGCAGAAGCACAGACAGGTAAGAAACTTGTTGTCCGAGCAATGCGTGGTCCCAGGATGGCTCAACATGCAAGAGAAGTCCCTTGGCACCCCAGAGTCTGTATGTAAGAGCGTGCACCCACGGCAGAATGCAAAGTTCAATCCTGCGTCCGTCACCTACGAGATGCGTGTGCATCTTGGAGGTTGTGTCCCTTATGTGCTTAGAACGGTGCCTGGCACGCAGCATGCAGAGCCAACATGAGTTGTTGTCGTGTTTTTATAATCTGTATAGCAGTAGAGCCACGATCAGTATCCCAAGTTCAGCAGAAAGTCGTTTCGTTTGTTCTTGTTATCTTTTTCTTTTGAGACAAAGTGACTTGGGGTTTGCTTTGGACAGAAGGTAAAAGAAGTAATATAATCAGGAACGTACTTGCTTTTTAAAATGCTTTCAACACATGATAATTCCAGCAAACAACCATCTAAAATTAGAAGTAAAGTAGCACCCTATCAGACGCAGCTGCGCTCATTGCAGACACTGCTTTTGGGACTTGCTCTTCCAGTCATCCCGTCTCCTGCTCTAATAGCAAAGGATTTCGCTCTCTTTTATCGTAGGAGACCAGGCCGGCACATAGCTCTCACTCCAAAAAGGAACATAAGGACCAGACTGGAGAGCAGGAAGGGGTGTGATACATGGTTACCTGCCCTAGGGGTTTGCTACTGGTGCTGAGTCAAGCTGGCCCTTTGCCTCGTAGGAAGACCTGGAAATCTCTGCTGTGAGCTTGTGGCAATTTAGAGTTTGTCTGGCCTTGATGTTAATACTCAGGCACTGTTATTGGCCTCTTGCTGCATGCAGAGGTATTCTGGATGTTCCCCATGTCAGTATTAGTGCCAGGTGTCTTAACCCCACCTTACAGGCGGGGAAACCAAGGCACAGAGCAGTCAGATCACGTGCCAAGGTCACAGAGCTCCTGGGTTGGTCACAGGCAGTTTGGCTCAGGTGCTCCGCTTGGGTTAATCTTGCTTTCCACTTGCCTAAGAGCCCTGAATGGAAGTCTGTCCCAGAGTAAATATTAATAGTGCCCCTTGAAGACAAGCACTAAAATGTGTCTGTACCTGGCTCTTTCCACAGTGACTTGGACTGAATGGACTTTTAGCAACCTACGTTCTCTGTGTTGTTATAGGCTAGTCTTTTCACAAATTGACATGCATATTCCCTACTACTTGCCTGTGAAAGATGATCTTCATTTTGAGGAGTCTTTACAGATTTTAGAGCATTTTCACTTGCACTATTTTATGGGAGGCTCATAGTGCCTCGTTTTTGTTTTGTTTTGTTTTTTAATAGAATTTTATCTTTTTTTGATATTTCGATTTTATTTTTTTGCACCATAAACATAATTTTTTTACATCATTCTTCATTTTGTGCCTTTTCCATCTCAGCTGTACTCCCCATGGGCTTCTCACCACCAATTCACCTGTGTGCCATCAACACAGTCCAGTGCACTCTTCGCACCCCAGTTCTGATCCCATTCTTGCTCCCTCCCCCATTAAATGTCTCTGGTTTATAGTTGTTCATTGTTTTCATGTTTACTCTGTTACATTTGTTAGCCTCTTTTTTTTCTTCCCTGATCCCTTATGCTCTGGCTATGAATGAAACCATCCAGTATTTTTCCTTTTCCTTCTGGCTTATTTCATTAAGCACGATCCCTTCCAGCTCCATCCATGTTGCTGCCAAAGGCACAAGTTTATCTTTTTGATTGCTGAGTAATATTCCATTGTGTTTATGTACCACGTGTTCTTAAATCAGTCATCTAATTTTGGGCATTTGGGTTGATCCCACTATTTCCCTGTTGTAAATAGGGCAGCAGTAAACATGGGCGTGCAGGTGTCCTTTTGTATCAGTGTTTTTGTGGCCTTTGGGTATATACCTAGGAGGGGGATAGTACCTGGTTTATTTTTAATCTGTTTAAAGAAAAGGAAGCTGATGGTTGAACAGTAACAGGAACAAAGCCAAGCATCCTTCTAGATCGTTCCTATGTGTCTGGAACTGCAGAGGCGCAAGGCATGCAGCAGGTATTTGGATATGGTTACAGACAGAATACTGCCTCCTGGCTCCTCATGTATGTGCAGCTAGTAAGTCCTAAATCTTGAGAGGACAAACCTTATAAAAGAAAGGGAGTTTGCAGACAGGATTAAATGGAGGATTTCAAGACATTAAGATTGTTTGGGTGGCCAGATGTTATCACAAAAATAAGTCACCAATGGAAAGGGAGCTAGGAACACCAGAGACCTGGTGTTGTGAGCTTCGAAAGGCTTGACTGGCCGTTGCTTGCCTGAGGATGGAGGAGGGGCCGCAAGGCAAGCATGCAGACAGCCTATAGAGGCTGGAAAGCACAAGGAAACGGGTCTCCATGGAGCTTCTAGAAGGAAGGCAGCCTTTGAAGAGCCCTAGTGAGACACACGCTGGACTCCGGACTCCTGAACTGTAACGTAACACATTCCGGTTGGTACCACTACATCTGCGGTAAAGTGTTACCTGATTGCCTCAAGGACACACAGCTTAGGGCAACATAAGTCACTTCATTTGAAAAAGCATAGGGAAAATTTCTTAACCACATAACGTGGAAAATTGTTCATCCCCAGCATTTAAGCACGGGACTGGTAAGACACATTTTGCCAGCCTGTGGATGCTTGCCAAATTGGTCTTGCGCTTTTCCCAAAATCACCAGCTCTGAAGGGGTGGAGCTGCCTCTGACCCCTTCCCCCTGACCTTCAGCCCAGTGCTATTTACTTTCCTTCTCACATCTGTGATGCCTCAGGTTGGTGTCTGTGCCCTGGGACCCCACTGAGGATCCAGGTGCCCCCCCGAAACCCCCACAAGTTCTCAGTGTGGTCTTCCATATGCAGTAACTGAAGGAGTTGCATTCCTTCCCGTTTAAGGATAATAGTAGAAGTATTTTACCCTGGGGTGCTTCCCAGATGTCACTCATAGTACAGTTAACTGAACCTCCCAACATCCAAGACTCTGAAAGTCAAGCTCCATGTAGCCCCAAAGATTGAACAAATGTGTGTTAAGCACTGGGAAGAAGAACACAGAGATAAGTCAGATGGGATCCTGACCTCACATACCGTACTTACACCCAGGTTGCATTGAGGACACAGTGAGGGGGTGCATACACAGCTGGATGGTTCAGGGAGGGCTTCATGGGGGAGGCGTCCTTAGTTATAAACTGCTCCATGGCCTTTTGGTGCCTCAGTTTCCCCAGAGGAAAATGAAAATGAAGAAACAACCTTACAGGTAGAGGTAGTGTGAGGATTAAACAAGTTAGGGGTTGCCAAGTCCTTAGAACAGTATTTAGCACATACTAAGCACTCTCTAAGTGGATACTAAAAAGTAACTAAAGTCATTGACACTACTGCCTAATAGGTCCACAGATGGCTCCTTAAGCCTTAAACTCAGTTCTCAGTTGAGTGCTAAACCTGGAGAAATCGCTGACATGTTTCCTAAGCCTTCTCTCAGGCTACTATTTGGGCTTCTTTGCTGCAACATTAATAATCCTCTTAAGCAGACCTGTCTGGGACTTCACACAGACATTAGTGTCTGCTTAATGGGGTGTGGATTTAGGAGCTTCATCTCTCTGTAAGCTCTTAAGAGCTTTAAAGCGCAAATTATTCCATCATTTGAAGGGCTGAGGCGCTCTGCTGCCGTGCCACGATGGCCTGTTTAGGGCGTGGGAGGTCCAGGTCGCTATAGGCCATCTTCTCAGGGAAATAACACCTGAAAAACAGCCTGCTGCTCCACCTGCCTGTGGAGGTCGAAGGAGCAGAAAGACTTCCTGCTCCTAGATTCCCCTTGACGCACCTTCTCTGGATGTGAATTCAGATCATGTAACTCTCCAGTGCACCTGGGAATGTCACTGAAAGTGGTTCCATTTTTTTCACAGTCATGGTCAGTCATTCGATATAAATAATGAGTGTGAAATGCCAGTATTTCATTTGTGTGAAAAATGCCCTGTGTCCTATTTTAAAGCATAAATGTTGGTTTCCCCCCTTTTATTGAATTCCTTGCTTATCTCTATTTCTATATTTCTGTTGGTTTTATTATGTTAATGGTACCTATTAATATTCTATCTCTATTTCTATATGTATGTCATATATATGACCAGACATGTCACATGACCTTTTCTTTCTCTCTTTGGGAAAAGTGATTGAAACTGTTTGAATATTTTAAAACACCGGTGTCACTGGATGGTTTCACTCATAGCTGCAGCACAAAGCACCAGGGGGAAAATAATAATGATGATGAGCAACTATATACCAGGGACATTTTAGGGAGTGGAGTGGGGAATGGGATCAAAAATTGGGGGGGCGGAGGGTGTACAGGACTATGGTGATGGCACACAGGTGAATTGGTGATGGGAAGCCCACAGGGATTACAACTGAGATGGGAAAAAGTACAAAGTGATGTAAAAATAAACTATGGTAATATAAAAACTAAACGTAAAAAATACCAGTATCAAAATAATGCATACAGTATATAGTTTATTATTTTATAATACGTGATTCGGCAGTTTTGTTACATAGGAAGCTATGCAGCCATCACCATAATCTAATACTAAAACCTTTTCATGACCAGAAAGAAGCCGGTGTATAGGATACCCCATTTAGCCCATTCACTGCCCGCGCCAGCCCACGCCCCCACCCTCTGATCTTTCATGGGTCTGTCTACTCCAGACATTTCATATAAATGGAATCATACAATATGTGCTTGTGTTAGTGTCCTGGTGTTATAATAGAGGTCACAGGCTGGATGGCTTAAACAAAGAGAAATTTATTTTCTTACAGTTCTGGCTGCCAGGCGTCCAGAAATCAAGGGACCCATGGGGTTTATCTTTTCCTGGGGGCTCGGAGGGGAAATCTGTTCGCGCTTCCTTCCCAGCTCCCACTGGCTTCTGCCATTCTTTGCCGGTAGCTGCCCAACTGTGGTCTCGGCCTCCGCTTGCCCGTGGGCTCTCCCTGCTTTCCTGGTGTCTCCCTCCCCCACCCCCTCCCGCCTTCTCATAAAACACCATCCTGGGATTAAGAGCCCTTCCTAATCGATAGGACTTCATCTTCACTAATTACATCTGCAAGGCTCCTATTCCAGATAAAATCGTACCTTCAGATTTCTAGTGGGTATCATTTGGCAGGGATACTTTTAGTCCCAGAGAGTGATGGTTGGTGTTTGGCTTCTTTCACTTAGTGTAATTTTTCTAAAGCTTTATTTATTTATGCATGTAAGAACTGGGGTACAGCCCAGAGATGTGGAGGATGAGAGGCTCCACCAGAGACAGAGTAAAGAGCAGAACAGGCAGATTGACTGAAATTCACTGCTGAGAGGAGCAGCAGGTGGGTCAGGAGAGGTCTGCCACGCCATGTGGGCCAGCTCCTTGGCTGGGGGTCAAATTCCTGCTGCAGTGGCTGTGGACAGCTTCACAGTGCTGCGCTTCGACCCCTTGTGCCACCAGGAAAGCTCCTCACTTAGTATAATTGTTGATAGTTGATCTGTGTTGCCACCTGGGTCAGAACTGCATTTCTCTTTTTTGGCTTGCTCGTATCTGTTGTGGGGACATCTCACACTTCATGCACCCCTTCATGGTTGGTGGCCATGCGGGTTGCTCCCACATTTTGGCTGACGTGATTAATGCTACTGGGAAAAATTCATGGACAACATTTTGTGTTTACATTTTTTTCCCTTGGGTTGGATTTGTTTGATTTTTGAATGTCAGAATGTACATATTTATGTCATTTTGCAGTCATTGCTGTTATTAAAATGCTGGTCCATTTTCCTTGCTCCTCTTGAATCTGCTTTGTATTGCAATGACTTTTCAAGGACTAGCCTTTGGGGAGTTATATTCTGTGGGGAATATGCTTTTATCTCCCTTTCAGTGTGTTTAATGGAAATCGCTTGGTAACATTAGAAAACTAGCTAGGCTTTTACTTTCTGACCTCTGGTTCTTTCCAGATTTGTACCCTTTCTTGTTTTTATGAATAAATGGTAACATTTAATTTTGTAAACCATTTAGAATGCATCTCTTTGCGCTACCATGCAAACCATATAAGATATACTGAGCATGCTGTTTTCTGACTGCTAGACTTTGGATCCAATTGATTTCCTTTTCAATGAGCAGTTGAAACTTAATTATGACACGTGAGGATGCTCTTCATCCCTCAAAACCACAGATCTGTTGTTTTCATGGTGCTCTTGTCCCTGGGTGTGGGGAAAATGTATACAACTGCCAGGGGAATCTCATTAGCATAGACCAGTGGTCTTCAGACTCTAGCCTCATCTTTAGAATCACCTGGAGAGCCCTTGCAAGCACAGGTTGCCAGGCCTCACTGCCTGCATCGGATTCAGTAGATGTGAGGTGGCCAAAAGGTGGTGTATTTTTTCCTTCCTTCCTT